GTTGAATTCTTATATAAATATAGTTTCGTTTAAAGCAAACGACTAATGATTTAAAGTAGTGTACAAAGAAATATGAATTTTTAATCGAGGATAGGTCAGAAAACATAGCAATATAATCTGTTAAAAAAAGCTTTTGTAAGTCAAATTCGAAAATTCATTATAAATTGTGCAAGTGGAACGAAATGGAGTGCCTTATATTGTTAGATTTGTATTTGAGTCTTTTTTTTGATGGTATGAGCGGAATAATTTTTAAGTATTTATATTAATACGTAATAATATTTCTTTGAAGATAGTGCAAACTGCTAGAATATGAAATTTTGATAAATTGCGTAGTTGAAGCATTTGAACACAAATGATTAATTTTAAAGCTTAGTTAGGCTTATATTTTGATGTATTAATAAAGTGTCAATTTGAATGCAATTTATTTATTTATTTAACTATTTTGATTGAGGACGCCTTGTGATAAGTTAACCTCGTATTATTTAAAGTATGTTTTCTATTTTAAATACGTATTATTTTCATAATGTTTATTTAAAGTCTTATGAATATTTAGGGTACGAACTGCCCAAATTATGATTTTTATGAGAATGATTGGAAAATGATTTTGAGTTGAAATATTGATTATGAAACGAATAAGATATAATTTGAAAGCACATTGTATGTTGCATTGAGAGTCGTGAGTACAATTGGCATGCCATGAGATGAAGCGATTATGATCTGGTACATTTGTGTACATTATGTGTAGCAACGTTGGTTCAAGTGATATGAATGCAATTGGAGTGCATAGTTTGATTACGATGATAGCACTGAAGTGCTTATTGCGCATATTTGTCTGACTCACGTACCTTGCATTCTCTTACATATACATTGGGCTATAAAACTAAATGTGAAAGTTATGACAAGAATATGAAAGAAAAGAATGAAAGTTTTGAAATATGTTCGAATGAAAAGAACATGAGTTGTTTATGATATTTGATGTTGATTTACATGATTTTTGATAAAATCGTGAGATGACGATTTTCAAATTTTCAAAAAGAAGATGATTTGACTAGCTCGGTTTGAAATTTTAATGTTTTTATTTAAATTACAGTTTTATGTTGTATACTTTATGAAATTTATGTTTTATATCACTTTAGTTATATTACTGGCTCGCTAAGTTTTACTTAGCGTGTGATGATTTTTATACGTAGGTTTGAATATAGAAAATGACGTGAAGTGGGAGCTTTCTGAGCATCTTTTGGAAGTCAAATCTACCTACAAAATCAGTAAGACATCCTATCTTTGAATTATTAGTGGCATGTACATTACACCGGATGGTATGCTTTATTGAACTTATTTTAAAAGGGTTTGTAATAGTAAACTAGGATTATTTTTAGTTTTGGCCAATTTTAGTTATAATCGTATTTATGAATGAATAGTATTAACGTTATGTTCCAAATGGTTTTTAAATTAAGTAGTATTTAGGCAGCTTTATATAGTTATGAAACAAAACTAGACTGCCTACTTACTGCTTGAAATCTATTTTGTTTTCAATGATCAAATATTATTTTATGATTTTATAGGAATAAGGAAAAAAATTAAGTTGAAATAAAAAATGTTTAAAAAGGAACAAAAAAAAATAAGCATTTATGATCAAGGAATGTCTGAAAGGTTATGTAACTTCTACAACTCGTACTTCGAGACATATACGGGCTATGGGTGTTAACAGTATACATCGGTTTAAATGTTTAGTAGTTGCCCTACATTGATTTTGAGGTGAGGAGAAGCACTTGAAGTTGCTTCTTATGTGTGCCTAAATAGAGAGGTCTTGGTAAAGAGGGAGGGGTCTATTCATGGGTGAGCCTTTAATGTGTTTGTATCCCACTAAAGCGGGGTCCCCCTTAGCATTAGAGGCGACATAAGCACATGCATTTGTCATGTATTAACACTAAATTTAAGTTTGGTTTTCAGCTTAACCTGTAGCATGTGACCTTATCTTATCGTTTTAGAATCCAAATGATCATATGCTTTAAGGTCTTAACATTGCTTTTCAACCATAACAAGCCTTTTTATAAGATGTGACTGATTGAATATGATTTTTGGAAATACTTTTTTTATATTTTTTTTTAAAAATTAACCCATAATTAAAAACTGCATTTAAGACCAAAGATGAAATGTTAAAAAGGGCTTTGGGACACAGGAAAAAAGGGTTTAAGCTTTTAATTATAATCCACAGTTATTTATAATTTTTAACTGATACATAGAGACTAAAAGTATGATGGACAAATTGACTTAAATGGGAAGGAATTAAAGCATAATTTACGCGGGGGGGATTAACATATTTAACCCTGAATCAGTCATCAAAAGTTGATTATAGAAGCCCTTGCCTTGCTTTCTCAAGCCGAATGCTTCTCGTCTCCCTGTAACATGGAATAATTTACAGGTCGTTCTCCTCCTCTGTGCTTTTCCCTTTGGATTTGCATCATAAGGCCCAAGAAGAGTCGATTACCAGTTGAAGGGCCGCATTGTAACACCAAAATCAAAGTTACTAGAAACCAACACCAGCAGGTTGCCTCAACATAAATGGATTATATGTGTCAATCACTTGGGCTCCTAGGCAATGCCTAATCACGGGGCATTTTGGGATAATGTGATTTGTACTTCAATCTTACTAAGTGAATGTAGTAAAGATGGAATAATGATTTTAGGTTAGGGACAAGAACAAGGACAGATATAGTACATATTCGCTATTTTAGATAAATTATTAAATTTAGTTCAATGTGTTGAGGGAAAAATAAAAGACAACGAAATTTGAATACCCATTTTGTTAAAAAAATACATAAACATTAAAATTTTAAACATTTGTTCTAATTTTTTTAAATCTGCCACTTGGTAGAATCTTTTAAAAATATATTAAAATTCTAGAAGATGTATATAAAATTTTAAAATATAAGAAATTAGTAATTAAAGAAAATAAAAAAAATATTTAAATTATATAGAAATTAAAAATTCTAAGGGTGCAACTGTCTCCAACATCCCCTCCATCCATCTCTGAATACAGTAGTAGAGAAACTGTTAGTGGAGTAACGCTTTGTTAGGATTATTAAGGCTTTATGAACAACCGAAAAACGACCAAGAGGGAGTGAATTGACCTTTTGAAACTTTTGGGTGTGAAAGAAAAAAGATAGTAAAATTTGCACAAAGATGTTCGACTTTATCAACCAAAGTTTATATCCACCACCTTAGCTCCACACTAAAGATTTATAACACATTCATTAATTTGTTCTTTTTTTCTAGGCTCAAGGGTAATTTTTATAAATTTTCTATTTTTTAAGGGTTAAACTAGAATCACTCCCCTTTACAAAGGAAAAAGGATGTAAACAAGAAAAACTCCACAAGGTAGGTGTTTATAAGAATTAAGCTCACAAGAAAGAATCTTAAAGATTTGCGATTAAGCTCTAAAACCTATGTACAAGAGAAAATGAAAAAATAAAGAGTGAAAGGGCTTTTCTCTTGACCTATAATGCTTGGATAGGTGTTTTAAACTTTTTCAAATGTCATTGATTTGTTTTCATAAGTTAGAATGTATTTATGAATGTTTTTAACTGTTGGGATGATTTTGAGCCGCTAGTGACTTTTTTTTTGTAAAATAAAATTGTTCATAACATGGAGTATCACTATTGTCTTTTAGAGTATCGACACTTCCTTTATAATATTTAAATAAACTAGCCATTAATGGTTGTTGGGCTTGACCAGTATTGATACTAGAGTTTGTGGTGTCGATACTACCAAAGTAGTATCGATACTCCTAAAGTATCAGTACCAATTTTGTAATTTGAAATTTGAACAACTTTAAAATCAATAGGTAGTATCGATACTACCATAATAGTATTGGTATTCTCTTTCCTTTGACATCGATACTTCAAGGACAATAACGATAATGTCCATGTAGTATCGATACTGTAAGCGTAATATCGATATTACTTACCTAGAAAAGCATTTTGTGTTGAAATTAGTTTTAAGAATTTTGATTTTTTTTTAAAAACTCTGAACAAATTAAATCAAGTCTAGAAATATTTTTGTCTTAATTTATTTTATCAAAATATAGATTCAATGTGATTAATGCTCTTCACTAACGTGATAAGATATATGTGACTGAAGTATTGACTTGACACATGTCACATGTACAATAGCGATGATGTGTGCTATATGTTCAAAGTGATATCGTGACACATATCATATATATGAGTGATGACATGTCGTGGGGCACATGCCTAAAGTGATTACATGATACATGTCAAGTGTACACGAGCCATGACATGTCATGTGTCACATAACCAAAGTGATTATGTGATACATCATCACTTTAAAAATATAAGTATTTTCATGTCAATAAATAGTATTGACCATTATTCAGTTAACAATTTTCATTTAACAATGAGTTATTTTACTCTAATGTAAAATGTTGGAGACCAAAGTACTCCAAAAAAGAAAATAATAGTAGCCAAAATAATTATTTTATATTAGAAACATATTTTTAACAATATACTTTTTATTTAGTATTATATGTATTTATTGTTTTAACATATTGATTTATTTTAATATTTTTATTATCGTTAATTGTTAATATCATAATTAACACTTATTTCATTTTTTTATTTTAAAAGTTATGACCATATATATTTTTAATAAAATCAATTTGTGCTTTAATCTTTTTATCAACATAATCAAATCTTGAATTTTGACCTTAAATTTTTAATAATATGAGGTGATCATAAGATATTATTTATTTATTTATATTTTTTTTATTATTAACGTCTTTAACAAAATAATGATTCAAGAAAAACTATTATCAAATCTAAAAAGGATTTCGCTGAAAATTTACTGCTACTTTGTCCCAATGTACTGTCTATATCCAACAAGACATGGTGAACTCTTATGTTGGAAAGAAAACAGTCTTAACTAGTACAAAATGAAGTTCGTATGTCTTGGTGTGTACTATTTATACATAACTACATGGAATAAAAGAAGGAACCTACTGCAAATTAACCACTAGTTTCTTTTGGGAATTGAAACACTTAATCTGAAATCATCACACGTCTTTTGCTTAAACTAATCTTGCTGAAATAGGGATCTTCTCAATTAGTCATTCCATGGCTGTAAATTCTCCATTTTCAAACAGTGTGTAAGCAAGCGAAGAAGCCCCCGGATTCTCAGTTTTCAAAGCTCTTCCTTCCCATCCGCAAGCCCCGGATACTCCATTATAGGCTCCTACACGAATTATTTACATGTCAATCTCTTCTTTCAATTTTTATTTTCACTTCAAATTTCATGACGATCGACTTTTAACAACTGATTTGCTAACTCTCGTCTTCAGCAGATGTTTCTTGAGTTAACGTGTCCGATTCCATTCCATCGATTTAGACAAAGTAACAGCGGGGCCGGAGGTTCGGGATACGGTGGGGGTCTGGACCGGTAGTTGGGGAAATCTCGCAGCAGCCAACGATACGAAAGGTGATCGCAATGGCGGCATGGACGTTAATAGCACCTGACCAGAGAGGCCAAGCATGTTGAGTCTAGCTTGGTTGATCGCCGGAATTAGTGAAGATGTCGATGGAAACTGTGCCATCTGCATTGCGACAGCCATGGGAGAATAACAACCAACCAAGGGCCGTGCATTTATATGTTGCATCGATGGAGCAGGTAACATCATCGGAGGCATATAAACACCACTACTTCCCATTGACATCATCTGTTTAGATGCAAGATCCCATTGTTATTAAGCCATGTTTTTTGTATTTAGTGATCCAAGGAATGATATCGAAAGGCTCTAACCTGAACTTGAAGCTGAAGGGTTTTCAAGTACTCGATTGCCTCATCAAGAACCGAAGCTTTATCCATCTTATTACAGTTGGGTATGAGCTCTTGCAAGGCACGCATCTTCTTGTTGATTTTTTCTCTTCGTCTCTGCAACCCAGAAATCGAATATTTCTGTTTACTGCAAAACCCTGAATTTATTATTATTTTTTTAGCTGAGCTTACCCTTTCAGATAGGCTGTGAGATTCTGGTTTTCTCTTTCTCGTTGAGCCTTTGCTCGGAGCGGCTTCGGATTGTTCATCGGGAACCCACTCTTTCTCGAGGGATTTTCTCACCTTTTCACTTTCTTCGTCAATCCTTGATTTGATTTTCTCCTTTGATTGTTGCTTGTAGCAAGATTGAGGCACCTTCCTATCATTATTCATGGTTTGCTGAGGAACAATCTCTTCTTCCTCTTCTAGCTGGGGCACGTTGAATTTGTTTGCAGCAACAACTTGTTTATCGTAACCATCCTCGTATAGTTCATGCAACCGTAGCTCCTGGTGCCCGGTTTGCAGACAAGTTATGTTCTTCTTTCCGGGTTTCTTGGACGATAAACCTCGAATCAAAATTTGACCATTTTCCCGCACCAGCTCTGCCGCATCAGGATAACACCTGCAAACAAGAAATATCAGAAGAAACACATTGAAAACACACTGTTCATCTATATATATGTGCGCGCGCGCGTACGTGGATGGTAAATTAGGCAAGTGATGTGTCATCCTCGGAGGAGGTGATTCAAGTTTCTGTTTTTCTGCCAATTGAAGGATGATCAGGAAGTATTTGACGTGACTGATAATCTAAAAGAAAAACCGACAAGTTCAGCAGTTAAGCCGTCAAAAGAACAAGAAGACCGACAGTGAGAAAGAGCATCTAATCAAGCACCGGAGGTTGGGATGTTCAATGGTTTTGATGAAAATAGGGAGATGTTTGGGGGAATTATTATGAGACGGAAGTGATATGATAAGATGGTTGGCGATGGGAAGAGAAGATTCCTAGTTTATGGAAAATGGGGCTGCGTCCACAAAAATTGAAGCTTTGCGTAATCTTTAAAATAAATGGTGTTCTGCCACGTTTACTGCCCCCACCACCGACCAAGCTCAGTATTGGGACCACTGGAATCAGGAAAAAATTATTAGATGAATTTCGCTCATGTCATTTATTATCCTAATCAATAGTATTTCTTTATCTTATTTTTTTTTAATGTGAATCTTCACCTCTTTTTTACATGTAAATAATAAGTGAGTAATTATTTATAAGTTGTTTTAAAATTTATGGCTCTTATTCACTGGGATAGTAGATGTTGTGGTGAGTCAGGACCATCAAATAATTTCTTGGAATCACGGGTGTTCAAACAATTAATTCGATCATCGACTGAACCAAATTTTCATTAATTAATTTAAATTTTTCTTTAATTGTTAACCGAATCAAAATTTTTAAAATATTAAAAAAACTGAACAAAGTTCGATTATTTCGGTAGGTTAACTGGATTAATCGATATTTTTTATAAGTTTTTTTAATTAGATTAATTTGAATATAATAGAGTTATAGAGGTATTTTTTATTTGGATTAAAAATTAATTAATTATTGATAATTTAATGAGTATGATGTGATTAAAATAACTATTTAATAATTTCGATTAATTTAATTAATTAACCGATTTCAAACTAAATTAACCGTTAATCGAATGTTAAAAAATATTAATTTTCCCCCAAATAATTTGGTAGCTGACCAAATTAATCGAAATATTTCGATTCATTCAATTAATTTGGTTAAAATCAAAAAATGAATACCACTAATTGAAATTGTAGTATTTTATGTCATGCCTCTTTATCCCTAAAATTCTATATATTACAAATTCTTCCATTTTCATGCATAGCTATAAAATACATTAATAGATTTAGAAATATTTTTGAATATATATATATATATATATATTGGTTATACAAATATTTTGTTTAAGAGTAAATATAAATAAAATTTTAAATCAAATATAATTAATAAAATAATTAACTAATAAAAATTTGAATTTTAAGACAAACACTTGTTTATCCTCAATCCTATTTACATACGTTATTGATGAATAGTTATGTAGACAGCGTGTGATATCGGCCGGGAAACTTTCATGGATTAGTATAATACTGATGTGGTAAATTTTTATTATTGATGAATTGAATAATAAATATATTATTATTTTAATAAAGCAATTTTAAATTTTTTAATAGATGTAATTATTTGATTTATTAATAATATATAAAATTATGTAATATCAAATTATATATTAATCTTTTATTCTCAAATAAGGCTGAAATACTTGAATGTTGTGTTTCTTTCAATTCAAGCTTTGCAATTTTTGTCTTTTTTTGTACGAACCAAATTATTTTAGCGGTTAAAGGAATCGTTGTTCCTAGAGGTCACAGATTCTAGTACCACAGTTACAGTAAGGTGATTGAGCGTTGATTGTTAAATGGTTGAGAGTATTTAAAACATATATTATTTTGTAATCACATTACCTTAATAAAAAAAAGCTTTGTGATTTTTACTTATGGCTTCATTTGGGAATGTTTCTCTAAACGAGCTTTTCCAACGAGTTTCTCTAACACAAAAACACTATTTTTTTATCTCCTTGATTTGAGTTAATAATCACATTTCATACGTGAATTTTTTTATTGAAAATTAATTGTTTGAGAATGTTTTTGCGATTTAAACAGAATTTTAGATGAAAATTTACTTTCATAAATATTCTCAAACCACCCCTAATTCATTTGAACGCGATGAATTACGTTTTCACCACACTCAACATGACAACAAAGAGAGTGTCTACATTTTATCTTTCTTGATTTGGTGAAAATGTTCTCATAGTCAACGGTCTATCCAAATAAAATTTTAGACCAGAATCTAAGAATATATTTTATTCTTATTCCTCTATATATCAAAAGAATTGACTTCAAAAAAAAAGTTATATCTTATATGCTTGAGTTGAATTTATAATAGGGTAAACTATACAGGTGACCATTCAACTATGATCAAAAATCATTTTGACCACCGATGTTTCAATTTGATCAATCAAATCATCCAACTATTTAAATGCTTCAATCAAGCCACCTGGCGTTAACATTTAACGGAGGAGGTGAGGTGGCAGTTAAAATATTTTGGTATAATTATACAATTGGTCCCTATAATTTACATATTCTTTCAATTTGATCCTAATTTTAATAAATTAAAATAACTTTAACCCTCGAATCAAAAGGTGTCACGTGTCATTGGTGAAACATGTCATGACACATGTCATCATTCGATTGGTGGATTAAATTTATATTAATTTATTTTTTATTTAATAGATTTATTTTTCTCCAATCAGAGGGTCTCACGTGTGACCCTCTTGAAAGAAAATAAATCACATAGTAGTGGAGGAGATGGAGATTCAAACTCTAGTCACTTTGTTGGAAGAGTAGAAGCCAAGTCATCCATCTGGTATACTTTGGACAACAAATGATATATATCTTATATTTTAGTCTGTAAATGTTTTACTCAAAATCAATAATATTTTGTAATATATCTTAAATTTAAAAAATATATTTTATTTTTTCTTAACTTATTAAATATATTTTATTTTTATTTTAATATAAAACTATATTTTATTATTATCTTAACTTTTAACTGAAGAATAAAAATATATATTTTAATTTAAAATAAGAATAAAATAAATTCTTAAGTGAAGATAAGAATAACATATATATTTTTATATTAATGTAATAATAAAATATTTGAATATATTTTAAGTTAAGATATTTTAAAAATATATTTTTAAGTGTCGATAATGATAAAATATTATTAATTTTGAGTAAAGCATTTATCCACTAAGATACAAGAAATATTTTTGGGATTTCGATGAAGCTCAATTGAACAACCGAATAATTTGCCAAGAGGGGGTAAATTGGCTTTCTGAGTTTAGGGAGTAAGGAGTATAAAGATGAAACAATTTGCACAATGATTTATAATGGTTCAACTTCTCAACCAAGTCTGCATCCACTACCTTAGCTCATTACTAAGCATTTTCTAACAAATTCACTAATTTGTTCTTTCTTTTTCCAGGACAAAGAGATTACATTTACAACTCCCTAGATTTTCAAAGGCTAAGCTAGAACCAATCCCCTTTACAAAAGGAATAAAAGATGTAAACAAGAAAACCTCTTAAAGGAAGGTGTTTACAAAAATTAAGCTCACTAAAACACTAATATTTACAAGAGAAATGAAAATAAGAATGAAAAATTATTCTCTTGTGTATGAATGCTTGGATAGGTGTTGGTCTTAACCTTCTTCAAGTGTCCTCAACTTGTTTTTATAAGTTGGAATGAGTTTGTGACCGTTTCTAGCCTTTGGGGATGTTTTGGAGCTGTTGGAGATTAATTTTCTGCAAAATAAAATTGCCCATGACAGGGAGTATCTGTACTCCTTTAATGAGTATCGGTACTACCTTTGTAATATTTAAATAAACTAGTCGTTAAAGACCGTTGGACTTGACCAGTATCGATACTATGCTTCATGGTATCGATACCACTATGTAAAGTAGTATCGATACCTATTTTGCATTCTGGAATTTGATCAATTTGGAAAACATTTGGTAGTATCGATACTACCTAGAGAGTATCAATACTTCTCTTACCTTTGGTATCGGTGTCATTTGAACAATATCGGTATTGTTCATATAATATTGATATTGTAAGAACAGTATTGGTACTATGTACCCAGAAAAATTATTTTGTGCTCAAATTCTAGTTTAATGGACTTTGAATTATTTTTGAAAATTTTGAATAAATTCAATCAAGTCCAAAAATATTTTGCCTTAATTTGTTATATCAAAATATTATAAAACATAGTTCAACAAATATATCATCTGTTTGTCCAAATCATACCAAATAGATTTCTTGGCTCAATGGTTTGACTCTTGCCAAGTGACTAAAGTTAGTATCCCTATCTCCTCCAATATCATGTGATTTATTTTCTTTCAAGAGGGAGACACGTGTCACCCTCTAATTGGAGAAAAATAAATCTATTAAATAAAAAATAAATTAATATAAATTTAGTTCACCAATCGAATGATGACATGTATCACCAATGACACGTGGCACCTCCTGATTCAAGGGTTAAATTTAATTTATTTAAATTAGAACCAAATTGAAATAATATATAAATTATAGGGACCAATTGTATAATTATACCAAAATACTTTAGCTGCCATATCACCTCCTCTGTTAAATGTTAACGACAGGTGGCTTGATTGAAACATTTAAATAGTTGAGTGGTCAAAATAAATTTTGACCATAGTTGAGTGGTCACCCGTGTAGTTTACCCTTTATAATATATGTGATGAAAACTTTAAAACTTTAATATTTTTGAGCTTGGTTTAAATTTATTTCATTAAATTAATCATTCAATTCAGTATTTATAATCATTAATTTAATTAAAATCATAACTACGTAAGGTTAAAAGTAGGAATAGATTGAAAAGAGGTTAGAATGCAACTCTACTTAAAAATTTTAAATTTTTATATAATTTAAATATTTTATCATATTTTGATACCCTTAATATTTTTACTATAATCTTTTTCCTAGAATCGTACTCCTCACTTAAATTTTTAATATGTTCCTGTATTCAAAGGAATAATAATTGTATTAGCTAACCAAAATGGTAAGATGAGTTGAGAATAAGCGTGGGATAGTGGGGATCGTTTTTACCTTGAAAGTGAATGTTCAAAAAACGAGAGGAAGACAAAAGAGTAAAAGACCAAGGAATCTAAGACACTCCCTCACGTGGACTTGGGGGGACTACCTACATTCCCACGTGGACTACCCACATTCCCACGTGGACTACCCATTTAACTACTCACTTACCCTTGCAATACCAGGCCCATTTTTGAAGAAAAAAGCGTCCACTTCACGTGATCAACCTTGTACTTCATGTGCCCCTTTTCTTTCTTGCCT